TTTTTCTTGATATTCAACTGAAATCTGGTTTCCTTTAACTTGAGCCCATTGTTGCGTGTCCCGCACTCTGGGATGATTGAGAACAGATCTTGCCCCTTCTCTGTATGACAGCCTTTCAAATAGTTGAAAAGTGCTATCATATCACCCCTTAGCCTTCTTTTCTCAAGGCTAAACATGCCCAATTCTTTCAGCCTTTCCTCATAAGACTTCTTTTCCAGCCCCCTGATCATCCTTGTCACCCTCCTCTGAATTTGTAACAATTTGTCAGCATCCTTCTTAACATCTGGTGTCCAGAACTGGACACAATACTCAAGATGAGGCCTAACCAGTGCAGAATAGAGGGGGAAGCATGTAGATGCCTCCAATGGAACGGCATTCTTGCAAATATTAATACAAATATTCTTGTGTGCATGCTGGACACCAGATAGATTGTTATCAACTGAACATGGAGAAATATAACTATTGCAGAACAAGGAGGGAATTTAAACAACATCCTGTAGTCTAACTAGGTCATGCTCCCTTCTGCTAAGCAACAGTGCAATGCACTAATTTTGTTCTCAACATCTCTGGGCTTCTCATCACATTATCTACTGACAGGCTATCTGCCAGCCAAATGGAACATTGGAAATAGGATCCACCGTACACAGTATAACTATTTCCTCTGAAGGATGGAAATCCCTTACCACATCACATGGGGAACATTGAGCAGAAGACCTCATGGATCTGGCCATGAAAGAAAGAATAATAACATACAGCTAGAGGGAGGGAGACAAACACTTTTCTGGAGTTGCTCAGTGGCTGACAGGAGCTAGATTGATATTAGGTTCCAATTTTCCCCATATATTTAATTCAATTTCTCTTCCCTGTTTTTGTCTGTTATGTGTTTCGTCTTGTCTACTGTTATTTGGTTATGAACCTGAATCATTTGCATGATGTAGAAATAGTCATAGTTGCAGATATACAGTATGTCCTGATATAGGAGGGAAATGTTGAGGAAAAATGGGTGAACTGGGATCAAAGACATACTTTATTTTGTTTTCTTTTTTTTTATTAAAAACAGTTTCAAATCAAAGTTTAATAGTAAAGAAGTAAGTACTCTTGGTTTCAATGCATCTCATTTTCATGGAAGACTCACAGAGTTGGAGAGGATCTCAGTGGCTTAAGCTGTGAAAATTATTACCAGGTAACCTTGGTAACATGGAACCCAGCCTTCCAAACCTGGGCCTCAGACTGGGAACGTTTATGCAGTCTTTTGAGCCTTTTCTTTAAGGACTCCCAAGACAACAGATTCAATGACACTGTGTTAATCTCCGAACATTTATCACAGGCAGCTTTATGAGTGCAAACTGCGCATTCAGTTATCTCAGTTTGGCATGGTGACCTGGTGGGATATATTTGCCACTGAACTGATATATAATGTCCCTCCTAAAGGGATGTGTGTGGGGGGGCCCTTTCGATCCCAGCTCCCATTAACTCAAGCCATCATGTTGTATGGTCAGGGATGGTGAGAGCTGGAGTCCAACAACATCTAAAGGGTTCTTTGTCCAGATACATATTTTGTGTGGTTGGCCTTGATAGAATCAGTGGCTTCTTTATATTAATTCTGGTGGGACCCACCTGGCAGAGAAGGACTTGGTACTTTCAAAGCCATAGAGCTGGAGTCCAACAACATCTAAAGGGTTCTTTGTCCAGATACATATTTTGTGTGGTTGGCCTTAATAGAATCAGTGGCTTCTTTATATTGATTCTGGTGGGACCCACCTGGCAGAGAAAGACTTGGTACTTTCAAAGCCAAGTTTACCCACTTTTTCAGACTATAAATCTTTAAGTACAAGCAAAGGCTTGGCCTTGCTGGTTTCTTGCTCATTTCAATTTTTATTTCAACATCCCAGATCCTGTTTAATAGGTAGACTTTTAGGTAGAGCAGTTGAAGTGACAGATGAGAAAATGGTCACAGTAGTAACACTTGTGATTCAGTACTAGAAAGTACATCCTGGTGGCCTCAGATCAAGTGGACCCACTGGAGTGAATTCAGAAAATAATGTGCCCACAGCTGGTGGGATGTATTTGCTAGTGACAACTGTCAAGACTAGGCCAATCACTTCTACAAGATTCTGAGGAAGCTGAAGAAACTATTTTGTGGCCACTCTGTGGGTTTTTCTTCTAGGGAACTGGCTCTGAATAGCATTCAAGGTTGTTCACAATATACATGAAGCAGGTGTCTTTGGATAGGTAAAAACTGGAGTATTTATGCAATTTTTGTGTGTGTGTGTGTGTGCGCGCGCACCACAGATCCTTCATATTCTATTTGGGATAATAGAACTATTTAAAACCACAGAGACAAAATCTATCTAAATCCTAAAAAAGAATATGCCAACAAATAGGGAAAACAAACAATGGCCCACAGCTGGGAAACATTATATATATATCAGACCCCAAGAAAGAAGATGCCAAGGAGTGCAGAAAACATTGCTGTAATTTCCCATGCAAGCAAATGTGCTGCAACAAAGGCTTTCACCTTATATGGAGTGAGAAATGCCTGGTGTTCAGGGTGGAATCAAAAAACGAAAGGGTTGCTTGAAATTATATTGCAAATAACTTTAAGCTACTGGAGAGCACCACAAATTTTCAAAGTACCTTTATAGACTACAGCAAAACCTTTGGTTGTGTTGGTCATGAAAACTATGGGTTGTTCTGAAAGAAATGGGTGTGCCTTGGCAGTCTATTTTTCTGATGTGTAACTTGTATTATGGATAAGACACTAGTATTAGGATAGAATATGGAGAAATAGAATGGTTTCCTGTAGTAAAAGATGTCAGCTAAAGGTGCATTTTTTCTTCTTTGTTCAATCTGCATGCAGAACATACCATATGGAAAGCAGGACTAGATTCAGATGGAGGAGTGAAAATTGGTGGAAGAAACATTAAAAATTAAGATTATGCAGATAACATAATCTTACTGGCAGAAAGGAACAACGACTTGAAACAAATTTTAAAAAAGAGAACCCAATCCACTCTCTAAACGCTGGGAGGAGTGAGGAAGCAGACAGGCACCCTTTTCACTGGCCAACAGTTAACTGAAAGTTCAAATTTTGCACTTTCCCTGCCTCCCACGTGTTTTTTTTCAGTTCTTAACTCAAATCTAAGTATGTAAGTCAAGTCAATATTTTCCTATGAGAGTGGTTCTTAAGTCAAAATGTTCTTAACTCAAGTCGTTCTTAAGTCAAGACCCCGCTGTAAAGATTTGTCACTGGAGACCTAGACCAAGATCATCCATATTATTGATTCCTGATCTTATGTATGGATGTGAAAGGTGGGCAGTAAAGAAAGCTGACAGGAAAAAAATTGATTCATTTGAAATATGGTGCAGGAGGAGAGCTTTGCAAATGCCCTGAGCAGCCAGAAAGATGAACAAGTGGGTCATAGATCAACTCAAGCCTGAACTATTTCTGGGGGGCAAAAATGATGGAACCAAGGCTGTCATACATTGGGTGCATAAAGAGAGGGCAAGATTTATTGGAAAAGATAATAATGCCAGGAAAAGTTGAAAGCAGTAAGAAAAGAGGAAGACCAAGTACAAGATAGAGTAACTCTCTAAAGGAAACCGTGAGCTTGAGTTTACCAGAGCAAAGCTGTTGGGGAAGGAACATTTGGGATACCACTCATTCATAGGGTTTTCAAAAGTTGGAAACGACTTGACAACATATAACAAGTAAGCTCACCACAGTCAATTTAAATTGTAGCACAGAATTTTGACCACGAGAAAGAAAAGCCGTTAGAAATAAGAGTTAATCCTTTTTAGAAGAATGCTTCTGTGACAGATAAGGTTGGCTGTTGAAGCAGCTGCCTGCCAAGCAAAAATACCTTTGTACAAAATACAACTCTTAAGCTTATTGTTGGCTCAGTGCTTCCAGTATCTCTGATAAAAGCAGCACCAGAAAGGGGGAAAAAAGGGCTTTACCTGATCAGGAATGCTATATGGGAATTCTGTTTTCTCGTAGGTCTCGGTAGTGACAGAAGGGTTGCTAGAGCTGATGAGCACAGGGGTGCTGATGTCCAGACTCTGCCGTCCCGTGGGAGAATGGACTATCCTGTTGAGTGTGTTTAAGGCTGTTGTAAGAGAAAATTGCTTCATGCTCTTTCTTCTGGATTCAGACTCTATGCCCTTGGCTCTGGGCAAGGATTTTTGTAAAGGCGAGGCACATTTCAGCTGGGAGGACCGATAATTTTTGCTTGTCTGAAGGAGCTGCTGTGCTGCTGTGTTTGGCTGGAAGAGGTAAAAAAGGGTAATGAACTGATGGTGCCCAAGAACTCCAAAGGCTAAATCTAACTGCTAGTCCCAAACAGAGCAGGCTCACTAAATCTGAACGACATACAATTGTATTGATTCAAAAGATCCCATCCATTCAGCAGTTCTGCTCTCCCAAAGCTGGAAGCAAATGAAGGTGGCTCACAACCACATTAAGAGGGGTTCAGATAAAAACAGATAAAACAGATACCAATAAAAATAGAAGTTATAATACTAAAATACAAAAAAATTCATTGTTAAATATGAGTAGCTTTGAAAATGTGTTTAAAACACATTGTTAAAAGTATAGCTCCGATCCATGTCACCCAGTTTCTGGCAGGGTCCCCGAAGGAAAAAGCATTTGTCTACAGTGGGAAGGACAACAGGAAAGGGGCCTCCCTAGATGGACAGGATGAATCTGGATGAATGCCGTTCTCCAGATACCCTGGGCCCAAGCTGTATAGAATTTTAAAGGTCATAACAAGCACTGATATCTATCCACTAGTCCCAACACATTTGTGGGTTGGCTAATGGGGACCTCAGTCAGCCATGTCTTCTGGATATTTTCTTCCTTCTATCAAAGAATGGTGGGACAGTTGCCAGAGAGTGGAAGCATTGCTTTTTTAAATGCAAACCCCAGAACAGTAGGATTCTGAAAGCTGCAGTCCAAAAAGGTAACTATTCTCATGTCTGCAGTTTTCACATATTATAGTTATCTATTAAGTTATTTGGGGAAATAAGAGTAAAAGAAAGTTACATTTCAAAAGGAATATAATAAGTGGAGGTAAAGTTTTTTAATTTTTCAAAACTACAATATAAACATAAAAGGAAGAAGATTACTGCAAGAGGTCCCAACTATGTGGTAGGGAACACTGTTGATTTGTATTTTGGTTTAGGTAAAGTTAACTCATTGGAGTAACACGTAATGTTTTCTTGCTACTTTTTGAAGTTATTTTTAAGGGCATTTTGGGGGGATTTTGTAGGAATATTGACAGGAAATTTTTCAATATTTATACTATTTAATCTAAAGGAGTGAAAAGCAATATAAGGAAACTTATGAGTAGAGAAAAAGTAACTATGCATTGAGCAAAAAATACTGGAAATGAGCCACTTCTTAAAACACCGTCAATAATTGGAACACATTACTGTAAAAAAGTAGCTTTCCCAAGTGGCTGTGTCCAACAGCCTTAAGCAACCGGGCTTGCTTCTAGTGAAAGTTACCTTCTTCCTGCATTAATAGTTCATAGCCATTGTTCAGATCAAGGTTCAAGCGCTGGTGTTGAGAGTTATTTCTGTGACTATATTTAGTGTATTGTTCTTACCTCTACAAACAAGATGGGGAAAATTCCAATTCTGTCACCTATCCTGCCTTCTGCCCAGTTCTCATCCACTCTGCTGATTACAGTGATTATGTCACCCTGAAAGACAACAATCACACAAGGTTACTGTGAAGATTAGACTTCATCAGAGAGGCCCATACTATCTAGCCATACTGCCCAGACTTTCCTGGTGTGGGTAAGCTCTGTGTGTGTGTGTGTGTGAGAGAGAGAATGTCAGATGTGTTGATGGCTCTGCCCAGACTTTCCTGGTGTGGGTAAGCTGTGTGTGTGTGTGTGTGTGTCAGAGTGTCAGAGTGTCAGATGTGTTGATGGCTGGGGGGGGGAATTTGTATCCCTCCCAACACCTTCTCTGATTACTCAAGGTTCCAGGGAGTTCCCCAGTATCGATAAAGTTAACCACTTTGGCTCTCACGCTAACCCTGAAAGGTAGGAATGCCAAAGACTTTCCTGGTGTGGGTAAGCTCTGATAGATCAGTGGTTCTTAACCTTTGTTACTCGGATGTTTTTGAACTGCAACTCCCAGAAACCCCAGTCAGGACAGCTGGTGGTGAAGGCTTCTGGGAGTTGCAGTCCAAAACTCCTGAGTAACCCAAGGTTAAGAACCAGTGCAATAGATGATCAAGACAAGGCCTTTCTTTAGTAACAACAGCCCTCTTTCCCTCAAAATAACCAAGCAACTGTAAAATTTTGTTTAACTAAAGATGTTGAAGAAAATGCAAAAAGTATAAAGTGTCTAAATAGTTTCAAAAGTTATAGAAATAGATAAAAAGCCATGGAGCAAGTAGACATTTTAAAAAGAGTTGAAGCAAACAACTCCAGAACAGTTCCCACAAAATATTAAGAAATCTAGATATCTTAAGCTAACTCTTACATACTGACAGAACTTCAGTGTAATTCCAGAACATACACAGAGTATACATCAGGCAGCAGATGAGCATAGCAATCTACTTAGAGATATTAGACTATACTAGATAACTTCATTCTGATTTTTATACCTGTCATTTTACTTTCTAAACAGTTTGAGGGGCTCCATTAGTCGGGTGTTGAATCTTCTCAAAGAGAGTAACTTATCTCCCCTTCCCTTCTCTTCAGTTGAGACTATTTCCTGCTGATTAGCTCTGTACCATGGCGTGAGCTGTTGCCTTTGAGATTCCTTTCTCCAGTGATAAGGAACAGATGGTAGGGCTCTCAGTTAATGGTCATTTTCCTCCCCCTCTCCTGCCCTTCTCATCTCAGGCAGGAACTATCAGGCCTGTGTTTTGAAAGAGCAATCAAAACTACGATCCCCGACTTTTCAGTTTCTTGACAGTTACAAATCTATTTGCCTGTTGTTTTAAGTTAGAAATTTTGCTATATAAAAAACATTTATACACTATTTAATGGATACCATGTCACCAGCACAGTTGGAGCCATGAGCTTTGAATGAAATTGCAGGCTACATCCTTTAGTTATATCTATTGTTCTTAGAATACTTTATCTGGCATCATGCTGTAACTTGGCCCAGGGCACCAAAATCTAGAGATGTATCTATTGATGAATGTTAGGAAAATAAATTTCAAGGTCTCCCAGCCCTGTTCACTTTCCTTTCCTTTCCTTTCCTTTTTTTTTTTTTTTCAACTCTAAACTGTTTCTTTTGACTGGGAGAGAAGATTCCCTTTCTCTCTTTTTTTTCATATTGATTTCCCTCCCCTGGAAGGGAGCAGGTGACTTTGGTCTTCCATTCTTCCCTGCAGTTTAAGGGAGGGAAATTAGGCTGTAAAACCCCTTTAAACTGCCCAGGTCTGGACAATTCTTTTGTTTCGGATGTAGTGCCATGTCTCAGTAGGGAACAAGACTCATATGGATTCAGGAGTCAGCCCAGAATGTAGGAGCATCAGCATGTTTAGTTTGCTGGGTTGAATTACGCTGCTTTAGTATCAATCATCTATACAATAAATCTGCCAGAGCAGAAGTAGGTTCCTATCCTAAATAGGAATCGAAGGAAAAAAATCACCTTGGGGTTCTAGCTAGTCCAAACCTGCTGAGCAGCACACCTGATAGATAAGTGGGTTCTTTCCTATAGGATCTTGGAAGATGAACTATGCTAAGGCTGGCTTTTGCATAGTTAAAACAGTCAAACAGTGATATTTATAAAACTAAGAAGGCAGTTCAATTTTTCTCTGTGACTTTTATAAACCTCACTTTTCTTTCACATTAATGTGGAATAAAACAACAAGGTCACAAAGTCATTTTACTAGTTTAAAACATGGCATTTGTTGTTGAAAGATGGAAGCTTGAGTTCACTGTGAATTAGAGGGACAGAACGGCGCCCAGTTGTTCTTTAGACTTAGGAGATGGTAGTTTCTGGTCTCCATTGGGTTGTGAAATGTACTAAGTGGTCTTGTGTCAGCTCCTCTCCACTTCCCACGCAGGATTGCTGTGAAGTAAGGTGAGGAGGTGAATTATGTACTCTTGCTGAAGGAAAGGTTACATATAAAACTAACTGCTAGCCAAGTAAATAAATAAATCATAATATAATTCTCTGGTGGGTGAGAAAAAGCAATATTCAAACAATTACAATAGCATGTTAACCAGGGGTCTCTTATTTGGCTTCTGGTTTGCTGTGATGTTTACAGGGGCTCAAAATGTTAGTGTCAGCTCTGAAGCTTTTAGATTAAAAGGTTACAAAAAGAATTCCATAAAATTTATTTGTTAGCTAAATCATTAATCTTTTTTTTTAAATAGCAGGTACTGAATTAAAATAATCATCATTGCAAAAAATTGAGGCAATTAGGCAGGTACGATTGTATGACTGTTCTGTCGAGGGAAGACCATGGACTTCTTTAACGCAGAGGCTTTCCAATTAGGAGTCAAAGAGGGTTGGATTCCCCTATTCAAAACCTGCTAAGTTGACCTTACGTTGCAGCCACCGGTATGTTAATGTATTCCTCTCTCCTTGCTGAAATGGCGGCTGTTTGTTTGACGCAAACGTATAAATCCCAGCATTCTAATTGTGCTGTAAAAGTGGCAATGAGCACTGTCTAGCACGACAAATAAACAGAATGAGTAACCACTGAGATAAAGCAAATGAAGGCAACCAAAAAAAACAAAAAAAAAAGCACAGAAGGAACAAAACAAAACAAAGACAGATGGCACTGGGAAAAAAAAGACAATGTCAGCAACAACCAAAAGAAATGTTCCTTTTTCTCTGTCCCCTGTGTCACTATCAGTAAGGTGGAAAGCTACTTTTAGAAGTGTGGAGACTGTTGAAATGAGCAGCAGCAGATGCCACATTGAAAACTGGCCCTCACAGCAGGTTCCTCCTCATCCCAGGCTGCGGTAACAACTGGCTGTTCAATAGCAGAACCAGCTTCCTGCAGCTCACCAGCATACCAGTTCTCATCTCAGTGCTGGGCAGAAACATCCTGTAAATGCGACTCAGCCTCATCAGTCAGTTTGCATTATTACTGCTGTAAATCTGAAACATGACTCTTGCTCATTTTTACCCAATGAGCCGTTTGCTCATCTTTGCTTCCTGATGCTGAAGGGTATCTGTGAGGTGAGAGGACCCCATGGCAGCCTTATTAAGTATCCTAAGCACGAGCAGTGGGATAAATGAAAAATATCCAGGGGGTAACATGCAGAGCATTTTAGAGGGTGAAATGGCTGCTTCTGCCTAGCTATTCTCTCCCTGGGCCAAACTGTACATTAGAAATAAGCCATCATTACAGCCGAACTAACATTAGTGGTCTAGAAACATAATTCAGACAGAGATGTGAGTCTGGGAAATCAGAGCTACATATCACCTATGCGTCTTGCATTTCGCTTGCTTTGTTTTATGATTAGTTGTCAGGAGGTAAACATGGGCTTAATTTGTAAGTTGGATTGTTGAGGCACGTGTCTCTGTGAAAATTCCACAGTGGGAGGGAAAAGACCTGTTATTCTTCCTATCTGTATATCTGTGAAAATTCTCAGTCATCCAGGTGAAGTTATCTGGAAGTTGAGTCATGGCAACTAGACTTCTTTCTTATTAGGTTGAAATGTTTCGCTACTCATCCAAGTAGCTTCTGAACAAGCTACTTGGATGAGTAACGAAACGTTTCAACCTGATAAGAAAGAACTCTTCCTATCTGCTTTGACATTCTCAAAGGACTGTTATTACACACATAACTGTGTCTGTTGGAACAAAGAATAATAAAGTAACTTTATAAACATCAGGACCTGTTGTCAAGTTTTAGATGCTCATGTTTAGGGCACAGTAACCTGAATCCTTTTGATCTAGTTCTGCTGGCATAGGACAAATGCCGTAACTTTTGGAGGCAAATTTCCCCAAGTTAGGAAATCAGCATAGACATTATCATAGTCTATGCATAGTGAGTTCTGTGATTCAACATGCAACTGATAGTGTCTATGGAAGCTTTGTTAACTTGGGGTAATTTGCCTTTGAAAATTACATCAAGAGGATTTGGGCCACTATTATATATTATTCATTATTAATATAAAGGATGAACCAGACTGTGTTTGACTAAGAGCACAGGGGCTGGAACAGGGACAGGGACCATGAATCTTTTAATGCACACAAATGAATGGGAATTGGGATCCTCAGCCCCTTCAGTGATGCTTGGATGCCTTTTCCCCAGCTCAACAAATTAGAGGCGATGGCTGCACTACTTACATACTGTAGAGGACAGATGGACCACAGATGGCCAGTGGGCTAAAAGTGCCCCATAGCCATCTTTGGTGCCTAAGACATCCCAATACCATGTCAGTGAAATTAGGCAGCACATTTCAAAAAAGCCCTTCCAAGCAAGCCCTTCCTGCTTGTTTTAAGGCCTTTTTCCAGTTTGCTGCTGAAAGTTAGTAACATGATTTGCTGTTCTTTTTTGGTAGCATGGTAGTGTGTTTCCATGCATGTGTGCTGCTGACAGTGGGTTCTAGGTGGAAGCAAAATTGGCCTTCAGACCTGTGACATTTGCTTGCCCCTGTTGTAGAGAGTATTGAAACAGCACTATTTAATATTATGAGCTGGCTTCCTGGTGCGTTGGCCACCCTCATTGCCTTACACTGTAGTAATCTAGACAGGAGTCACTATGGCTTCTAGTGATTGAACAAGCAAGCATTTGCCACATGCTGTATTTCCCACTTTCACTTCACATGCTTTTACTAGAACACTGATGGCACATATTGGGGGGGGGGAGTCACAGTTTGTTATCATCTGACTTGGGCGTAATTAATGGGAACCTCCATTTGTCAGGTGAAAAATGCCAAGCTTACCTTTTGAAATGGCAGGCAATCTGATTTTTCATTTGCCTTTCTGGACTTCAGATTAAAGTTATAAAGTGCTCTGCACAGGGGCAGGGGCTGTGGCAACTGTTTGATCACTTGCACAGAGTTGATTGGGAAAACTCCGCTGACCCTGTTGATCTCTCCCAGGTACCAGTCTTCATCCAGCTGACGATGTAATATGATGATGTCTCCTTTGTTGAACTTCAGTTCTCCAGGCTTCTGTCCTCGGTAGCTGTACAAGGCTTTGGCTCGGGGAACCTTCGATTAATGGAACAGAGAAGCGTGTTGGTTTATGATCTGCTGACACAGAGTTGAACCATGTGTGCATTGGGCCACTTTCGGCTGAGTTCACGACATGACTAGCATCACGAAAGCCAAAACAATTTCCTGGTGTCTTTAAACATGGCAAGAACTGAGATGAAAATTCTCAATTTATATCAGTGTTTAAAGCAACGGCTCATGGTAAGTAACTTACAGCCTTTTCTGGTGGAACTGAAATTTCTTTTCTGAGTTTACTTTAATAATAACAATATTGCTTTGTTTGGATATCTGCTGTTTAGCTCAAAATATTCCTTTTGCTTTACTATCAGAATTAGACATGGATTTTCTTTTAAACTACAACTATCAGTCTCATGAATGCATAGGATTAACCAAACAATGGGTTAAACTATACTATATATGTTGTAGACAGCACGTCTTTAGAAGTGGAGATTCCTTAAGTCACAGCAGGCACTTCCCCTCCTTCCAAATTTGCTTCCTTGGCTTTGTAAATGGTCCCTGGGAGAAAAACACTGGATTTGTTTGGTCAGGGATGAACCTCTGTTGATTCACTATCACCTTTTAATGACATCTGATCTGCGTGGTGTGCTTTAGCCACTGTCACATCTTTGTCACTGAACACGGTAACTGAAATCTAAGGCACTCAATTCATTTCATTGGGGACAATGCACAATTCTTGTTTCTGGCAGATTCTGTGACTGATAATCAATGCAGGTTGCTCCATACTTCCCTTGCCACTGTGCCTCCTGGCTCCCCCCCCCCCAATTGGCTGTACTGTAAACACAGTTGTCTGCTTGATGCCTTCACACTTTGCTTTCTCTTCCACTGAAGTGAATTAGGTAGCTCTTGGGATGGGAAGGGGAATGTCAGGATGGGAATTCATTCCTTCTTGTTTGTAAGGGGTATAGGAAAGGAGCAACATCATATGAATGCTCAGATCCACCACACAGGATTGACATGGCCACTTACACTACACCAAAATAGAAGAAAAACACCACTGAAAAAGCCACAATTTACATTATATTTGCACAGAAAATATATCCATAGGTACACATTTGGGAATAATTCATATAACAGAAATAGCAATAGCAATACATCTTTGCATAGTGGGGCAAGATTGTGGCCAGGTGACCTATATCAATGAGCTGTCAAGGTAGAAGCTGTTGATGGACAGCATGAAAGCCCTGTTTAGTTTTTCTATGTGTATTTGGGCAAACAATGCATTATAGATGACCCATAATTAGAGCTGAAACTACCTAAATCGTCAAGACCTTTTATGTCTGAGAAACCAGACTTACAAACAAAGAATGTACCTATGGACCTAAAGACCAGTTGCAAAACAAAGCAAGCTAACTTTCAAATTATGTGAGGTGAGAAATGCTCCTGCCATGATAGTCATACACAGTCATCACTTAAGGAATTCCCTCTTCTACTAAGGTATTTTGCATCCTTAGTCTTTCAATCTACCTTGGACTGGATTGCTCTTCATATTGAGAATACTGCAGAATGTTGTTCTGTGGCAGCCTTCCAAATAGAGAATTTATCTGCCAGATAAATGTGCCACTGGATTCAGGAATTTACATTACAGACAACCTATGACTAGAAGAGGAAAATCCTTAACTACTGCAAGCATCTATTACATCAGACATTTATCTGCTCTTTTTGCTGATTGGTCTTCGGGATTTAAGCATGGGGTTCCTCTAAAGTCTGAGTTCATAAATCCCTAAAGACTGCTCTATTCTGGATAATGTTGCCTGTCTCTAATGTCTATTTCTAGGCTGGCAGGAGATGAGATTTCTTCTTTATGTCTAGGTTACATTAGCACAGGGATGGGTCAGGATGTCTTGATAATTTTTTAAGGAAACATGGATTTGATATTCTGTATTCCAGTTCATTTACGTATCAGGCAACCACTGTGTGCTTCATATGGTATAAGGACATTGTTGTTATTCACTATTAAAAGAGAATGTGAATAATTTAATCACAGAAACCAGGAGACTTGAAGGATCACCACTTTGGTGCTGAGGGAAAGGTAAGAACAATATTTTTGCCTTTCCACATAACAAAATGAGTGCCAGATGACAATCTCCACTTAACTGAACTGAATCCTATTTTATCCAGTCCAGAACTTCCAATTTAATCTCAGATAGACCAAGCCACTTAGCCTGCTGGAGCAAAACCTCAAGAGTCTTCAACTGGGTTCACTCTTCCCATCGCAATGACAGTTGAGAGCAGCCGCCAAAGGCGCATAGCAGAGATAAGGAGATAAGAACTGTTCCCAATGACACGGTGGCTGTAAGCGGGAGGCCTCCCTCGGCTCTTTGAGCCAGGAGTACAAGGAGCTGCATCCACTCAGAAAATAAGGTTGCTAATGCCCAGAAGTCGCTGAATGATATAAACAGATGGAAACACTGGGCAGCCTGCATGGCCTTCTGGTGTTCCTCATGAAAATAAATGGGCACACACTGCAGCTCAATTTATGTGGCGTAATGGCACACTCTAAATGTAATCTATGTGATATATTTGCAGAAACAGAAGCAAGCTATGAAGTTGGAAAAACAGTAGGAAAGGTAACGCTGTCCACCATGGCTCTGAAAAGGATGCACCATATTCTGGCTATGAAACTTTTTTTCCTCTTAATTTTAGGTTGTGGAGCAAGTGGCTCTCCATATGTTTCAGGACATCTCACCCATGACCTTTGGCCACTCTGGAAAAGGATGCACCATATTCTGGCTATGAAATTTTTTTTTCTTAACTCTAGGTTGTGGAGCAAGTGGCTCTCCATATGTTTCAGGACATCTCACCCATGACCTTTGGCCACTCTGGCCGGGGATGGTGAGACTTGGATTTCAACAATATTTGGTGTGCACTGTTTAAAGGGGGGGTGGTAAGAAAGAATCCTTGTCCCGCCTTAGAATGATAGCTTCTCTCAGGTTCTGCCAGGAACGCTTCTCAGAAGGGATGGCTTTCCCTCCCCTGGAAAGGCAGACTGTCTCACAGCTCACAGAAGAAACGTGCTTATTTGCCCTGTGGCTGTAAGTCAAGGGTGGGAAACGTCTTTGAACCTGCGGGTGAGACTCCATTTCACAAAGTTCTCAGTGTTTCACATTCCAGGGGTGAGCAGGACCAAAAACCATGGGCGGCTTCCCTGCAGATACCTCCCCACCAAATCTGAGAGTGAGATGACCGCCTACTTGATCTGTGACTTAAAATACCAACATACTGTGGCGTTTACTGCCAGTACCAAAACCTTTGGATCCAACTTGTACTGTTAAATGCTGCAGTTTTCACATTTTGCCATTCTGCTAAACATTTTCACATGCCTGGGCACACAACCAATTATGCAACTTGGGCATGTGCAAACTGAAAAATGAGGTCCTTTATTTGCCCCAGTAGGCAAAAGGTGTAGCCAGAGATGATCTGAGGCTATCCATGAGTGTAATTAATTTGAAGATTTATTTAAATCCCAGCAGATGAACAGGGAGTAAGATCCATGAAAGGAGGACATGATATAAAAGAAATCAAAAGGAAACCAATGAATTTCTAACACAATACTGTACAATACAATCATGAAATGAAAAGTGTAGCTCAGAACATTAACGTCTCAAATGAAATTATAGTTATGTGAAACCAGTCATAGTTAGCCCTTTACAAAATGCCCCATATTTACCTCTAACCTTCCACCAGACCTCTAGTTCAAGTTCACTTTGTTCACAGCAACACATAGCTGGCAAAACCATGCAACGCTTTTTGAGTGGTTTTTCAGTTTATGCTGCATGAGACCCACGAGATTTTAGGACATTTGTTTCAGTTGTTTAGAATGGGAAAGAACTATAAAGAAACTAATAACGGTTCGCTATCAACTCAATTCTCAGTTTATGGTGGCCCTTTCCAAGGTGTTCTAGGTACAGAGTATTCAGAACTGGCTTGTTTTGCTTTGCTTTGCTTCTTAGGAAACTTCAAATAGTGGGGTTAAGAAGAAAGGCTTGTTGCCCTCTGAGACCACCTGAAAGAGGTGTCAGGTTCATCCCCAGGACTTGAGGTTATCTTCTGTGCTCTATCCACCATGGTGGTAGTAAAGAGGTGTCAGGTTCATCCCCAGGACTTGAGATTATCTTCTGTGCTCTATCCAGCATGGTGTAGTGGATAGAGTGGCAGACTAGAACTCAGGAGTCCTGGATTCTGAACCCAGCTTGGTCCGGGAAACTCACTGTGTGGGTGGTGCTGGTAAAACCACTTCTAAAATATCTCCCTTACCTTGAAAAGGGTCAATGTAAGTTGGTTCCAACTTGACAGCAGATAATACACACACACACACACCAACCTGCTTGCTATCAGGGTTCAATGTGCGCACGCGCGCGCGCACACACACACATCCCTCTGATATAGCTGCTATTTAACTGCAGCTGCTTCCAGATTCTCTGCTTCCTCTCCTATCTTGTTTGCCTCAGCCAACCTGCTTGCTATCAGGGTTCATGGTCTTTAACAACCCAAATCAGATCTGAAAGGAAATGGGTGGAAGACATAGAAAAGGCTGCAACATGACAGACTGTCATGCTTCTGAACCAGAGCCTCATGGGCTGGCTGGCAATGGATGAACATACTCCTCTGGTCTGTTTTGGCCCACAGGGGAAAGGACTGAGGGACCTTTGTTCCAAGAAATGAGAAGTACCATCCCTGAATCAGAGGTTGAGGGAAGGCTACTCCCTAATCCAATAGGGCACCAACTGTTGAACACATGGGCAAGGCTGGCAAAATCCTGAAGGAGCGCTTTACCCATACGGACTCACTAGGAGTAAGCTTCCTTAAGAACAAGGCCTTCCTTCTGAGGCAGGCCTCTGCCAAAATGACTCTGGGAGTCTGGTGTTTATGTTTCAGTCAGGAGGCAAGGAAAGATGGTGGAAACATACCACATAGTGGCTCTAGCACTTTTTAGTTCTTTCTCTCTCCCCCCCCCCCGGCTCTAGCTCCTTTAGACT